CTTCTTCTTCATTTAATTTTTTGGCATTTTATAAATTATCATTCATTTTTGGAAAACTTGAATTGGGTATTGGACAAAGAAAAGAAGTTGTATCAATAATCAACGCTTGAAAGGTAGGCCTACAGTAGACTCCCTTTTGTCCGGACAAATTTTAACCGGACATCGGTTTCACCAGATTAAACTCAGGGGAAATGACATCTCTTTAGCACGAGAATTAATGCAACGAGATAAAAGTACGAGAATTAACATGAGTTTTAAATATTGTTATATGTGTAACAAAACGGCACGGAGGCAGCTGGACACTACTAAATCAGGAAAATAGGGGGGCCCAGGATAGCTCAGCCCAGGGGTTCGTGACGGCTCTCGCTGGCCCTCATCAAATAATATTCATATTTAGAGCACCTGATATCACTAAAAAATATCACAACCCAATTGGTACCGTATGTTGCTAGCCACGAAACAAAAGCAAAATAAAAGGGTAGGCTAGTGTCTCAGACTTAGATGCGGACTTAGAGTGACAGATTTTATTCCCGGTATAACCACAAAAACATTTCACAAAAACTTTATACTTACAAAACTTTAGTAGCGCGAGCGTTGTCCCCTTGTAAAATGCCACTGGCGTGGAAAAAATTGAGAACACTGAGAACCAATTCTTCAGGCGGTAGTAGTGACGGCAACGGTCAACTTTAGTTGGGTAGTGTAGATTAACTGTTGCTTACTGTGCAGGTATAATGCAGTCCCATTGGGTACAAGTTCTTAAACATTTCTTGGATAAAATAAGTTCTCTGGTTCGAATTCTTGGTCTGATTTTGGACATTTTCTGTTTAGCATGCCCATTGGCACCAGTTGAAAGGGTATTTTCGTAAATCAATAAGAGTGTCTTGTAATGTTGTGTTAGGGCTAACAAATAAGCACAAAACACACAAATGAAATGTTACCCTTAACCCTCCAAGTGTCCATAATAATGGTATTAATGTCCGCCCATTTATTGCGCAATTGCAGGGTTTTATTAAAATGTATGTATTAGAAACTTAAAAACAATGTCAAGTATAGGCCTACTGTTTTATATATCATTTTGTTTGGGAAATTATGGGCTTCAATGTAATATATAAAAAACATTACCGTACAAAAAAAAATTTAAAAAATTTTTCTGGGGTAAAATTTTTCAAAAATTATAAAATAAATGAAAAAAATTTATGTTTTGCGCTCAATAAATTTTTATAATTTATAAGTCTAGACAAATATTTTAAAATAGCCACTTTGTTCTAAATTTTATAAGGTTACAAAAATATAATAATATAGGCCTAAAGGAAGTAAATTTGCAAATAAATAATGGGTGAAAAACAGATTTCGTACATTTGGCATTAGCGAAGAATGCATAGCCAAACCACAGCTAGGAATCTGGCTGATAATTTACATCAATATCACTATCTACTTCTTCAGGATCATCAACCAGCCCTTCAAAATCACTTAAATCTTCTTATAATGCACCACGTATAAGTTTATCACTACTTTTTATTTTTAACACTAAAACAATGATAATCGTAATAAAACACATCAGTGATCGGTGCGAGGTTAACCAAGTTGTTTACACACGTCAGCTGTCTGCTACAATATTTTCGGAACTAAAATGAAAAGCGTCTAGAAACAGACATCAGGAGAAAGCTTAGAATCTGCTGAAAACAACGATACCAATCTCGATCAAGTTCAATCTGATTCAGTCAGTCCCAGAGCCTTCCCCGTAAATGATGTTTGTGTGTCGCAAAAGCGACGCATAACACCACGGCGGGTGTGTTGTGCGCCGATTATGCGACGCTTAACACTCGGAGGGTTAACAATTGAAGAGGCTAACCTCAAGTTACCTAGGGCAAATACTTGAAGTTAGGGTAACTTACTTAGTCTTCCGTATCTGTTGGCACAAACACCTGAATGGAAATATCGATTAGGCTATTCGATTGGTTCATTCAATATAAGTTAGATCGCTATTTTAATTCGGTTGTTTGTGTCAACAGATACGGAAATCTACCCTCAAGTTACTTAATGATTAATAAAACTTACCGTACTGTAATGAATAACTTAGGCCTAGGCTAATATAAAAATTGAAATTTCTTGTAGCCTAAATAATAGTGCTTTTAAATATTGACTTTTGTGATTATTAATGTGGATAAAGGAGAATTTCCAAGCTTATGAATGACAAAAAGTACAAAAACAAAACAAAGTAGCCTTTTAAACTATGTTAGCCTCTTAAATTGGTGTGTAGGCTTAAGTTGCTCAAATACGGTACCTAAACAAATTTTTTAAGTTACTTTTTGTATCAAGGTAGGCTAATTTATAGACTAACTTAATCCTTTAACTTTATTAGATGATAACAAAGTTGTGCAAGGCCTACTGCCTAGTACTTGAGTGCGAGGAAAATTTGCATAGGCTAGGCTTGGCTATTATTATAAAAGACAGGACATGACATAACCTACAAAAGATGTTTTAAGCTCATGCGTTGAAGATTAGACGCAGCATCACGATGTAGTTTTAAACATTAAATGAAAACATGAACCGTCCAATAAAATAAGTAAGAAGTATAACATAACAACCACACAAAATAATTGCAACTAGCTTAACTTAGAAACTTACAGGTCATTCTTGCGCTTTAAGGCCTAATTTCTTCCAAAATGAAAATACCGGCAATGGATCAATGGATTGCGGAAATCGGAATCCGGCAATTCAAAATCCAACCAACTCAACTCAACTCGACTGCAACTCCACTCCCACTCCATCACTCCAACTCCATCCTGTCTCTAGTCTAGTCCCTACCCCACTCTCAACTCCACTCCACCAGTCGGCTCGGCACCGAGGACTGGACTGAACGACTGACGGACTGAACCTTTGCATTGCATTGAACCAAAACGATTAAGAATTAATTAGAAATTAGAATATTAGATTGCCGAATGAGAATGACTAATGACCAAGACCAATCGAATCGACCAATCCAATCCTAACCGAATCGACTTCGACTATTCGTCACCATCGTCCAACTGTCGGTTGTCGAGTCGACTCAATAGTCAATACACCAGACACCACCATAAAGAAAACACTCAACACTCACCACTCACCGTGTCTCACCACCATAAAGAAAGACACCCCGGTGTTTATGTGAGATATAAACCACGATAGTTCAATTCTAACAGTTCAATTTTAAATTCACATGAACCTGATAAAATGAAAATAGCAACAATATACCCAAAGCATAAAAAAGGAGAAAAAACTTAAAAAAAACAAACTACAGGCCAATCTCAATACTACCCACCCTCTCAAAATATATAGAGATTTAATTTTTAACCAGATAATGGACCATCTAAATTAAAACAACCTCCTAACTGAAAAACAACATGGTTTTAGACCCCAAAAATCCATAACTACAGCAGTTTTTCAATTCTGTGACTTTATAACAAAAAACTGGGAAGAAAATAACAATGTCAGGAATATACCTGGACATAGACAAAGCATTTGACAGTCTAAACTGGAAAACCCTTTTAAGTAGGCCTAAATTAAATACACTTAACATAAAACAGGATGCACAAAAATGGATCAAAAGTTATCTCACAAATAGAAAACAACAAGTAGAAATAGGCTACATAAAAAAAACATTGAACTAAAAACCAAATCTAAACTTCAACATATGACCCAAGGAATTCCACAAGGAAGCATCCTCGGCCCCCTCCTATTCATCATATATATGAACAATTTTCCAGAAAACCTTCCAACAGGAATAGACTGTATTATTTTTGCCGATGACACTACAGTACTAATCCCTCGAGATCATCACCTTATACGGAGGAATAGAAAATAGTTTAAAACATATCGAACAATTCTGCAAAAATAGACCTTAGAATCAATAACGCCAAAACTGTTACAATAGAATTTTCTGCAAATCAAACCCAAACAAAGCCCCTTTAGGTAAATAAGTTTATAATGGCTACGTTTCCAATTCTCAATCAGCAGATTAGGTAAACTGATTTATTTGGTAATGAAATTAAAGGGATACAGTTATTTGTTGAGTATTTTAGCATTAACGCCATGAATCCAAACGCTGTGCCTTCCTCGCGTTTTTAACGAATAGCTGCATTTCCCCCTACATAACCCCCTAATGTTAATACACAATTTTAAAGATAGATAAATAAGGAAGTTTTTTAGTTAGTTGAATATTCGAATATCAACATTTTACTGACTTTCTTTAGCTATAAAATTTAAACGGAATTTTTAATAAAAATCAATTTTACATTTGAAGCTATTTGCAAATCATTGTATAAAGAGTTGTTACTTTGGTATTGTGTTTAATTTGCAGTAAATTTAACCCTTTTTCAAATGATACAAGTTTTAATATATTTCAAACGTGGGTTTGGCTTATAACGTTAAATTAACAGTGAAAAGTCCTGTTATTTGAAAAAATCACAAATGACGCCATAACAGCTAAACGGTAAAGGTCAGACCAGGGTTTATATACATTTTCTGGTTTCGTTTGATGATTAGAATAAGCTGTTAAAATTAATGCATTCAGTAGTGACTCACCCTGTATAAGATTCAAATATATGGAAATTTGCTTAGTCGGCAGGTTTGCTGCGGCGGGGGTATTTCTCATAAAATGTCCGTTGTATTGACTTTATTATGTTTTTTTTTTTCAATTCTACATCCTAAGAAGCATAGAAAATAACACCCTATTGTTTGGATCCCATATTATGATAAATAAAAATGTTCCCAAAAATCACTATCCCCAATTTTTAACCTCCCTAAAATTGTACCCACCCCCCAATCACTAGGGACTCATCAGATTGAAAAAACTAATGGTATTCACTATGTTTCCAGCAAGTTTCATGAACAGACTAATTTTTATGTTTTCTACTAGGCTTTTGGTAGAATTTTACCTATACTACTTTCCTATTACGAATGTGTAAACTGTAAACTTATCACTCAGTGAAGAAAAAATGAAAATAATTAACTCACATACAACAGGTTTTAACTTGTTTATTATAAAACTCTCAATTCCTTAACCTTTCTATTGGTTTATATTAAATTAGGAAATACCAATACAATGGTTGAAAGAATTCTAAGACTAGTACTTACAAAACAGGAATAAAAAATAAAGACAAACGTATAAAGAATTTCCTTAAACATAAAAAACAAAAACATAATAATTAAATCACAGTTATAAGCATTAAAATAAGAACAATATTAACCTATGGGATAACTGCAAGTTCACAAAACCCTTTATGCAAACATATGTAGTTTAATTAAATATCAAATTACAAAATTGTTTAAAGGCTGGAAATACATATTTGAAAATATAAGTTATTTCAAGGAATCAATATAAAACTATCATTCCCTCGCTCATGAAAAGAGAATGAACATAGTAAGATCAATGAAGTTTAAATACCAATTAACTAAACATATCTTCAAATCCAGGTTGCCTAAAAATGACAATTGGTAGGCAAAGGCCCACAATTCCAAGGCATCAAATACTCTAGTATTTTACAAGATAAATGGAGATGTGAGGTTGCATTTAAATAAAATTATTTGTGGAAATTAAATTAGGTCAACAACACTAAAAGTAGAATATTCAACACATCTCAACCTGAAATCATGTTTATATAACACTTTTATGTTAAAGTAATAAAAGTACTGCACATTTGTGCCATTTTACTTTTATCCATCATATTGATAAAACATATTGGAACATATGGAATCTTCAACATTACAAGACACGATTGTGATACAAAACACACAAGCTCAGTCTGTCAGTCCTATTCTCAGTCAAGTTAAATAACAGTAGTTAGAAAACTAGTTAACTACATAAAAATAGCATCACAAGCTAGAGCAACAATAAAATGCTTAACGAGCTAAAACCAGTATCAAATTTTACAACAAACAAACTAAATAACAGTAAGAAACTTAATACAAACTTTGTTTGTACTTTAACTCTTCATAGTGACACTAGATTTTGTATACTTGCAAAACTATACACTACTATGTTTTGTATACTTGTAGGTATGCTTGCAAAACTGTCTTTTCGGGAAACTCATCACAGTCATCACTACAATTCTGTAATAAAATCTGTATCATGAAACAAAACACATATCTCTCGAAATCAACATTTCATAAACCAATCTCTATAGAAAATATATGCATAATAGGAAAAATGCTCTACGTTTCACAGCACCAAAACTGATCACTTATGGTTTCAAAGACACTAGTGCTCTTCACATGGATAACTCTGAGTTGGCTAGTTCGGACATTTCCGAAGATGCAATGGAGGTAGGTGTTTCTGTTCTATTGTCGCAGTATCCGAGTCTGATCCTCATATCTTCAAGTTCTAAGTGGGGAAAAAAGATGTAAAGATAAATAGCTCAAATAAGTAATCAATGAAGCAGAACTTGTAGGAATGTAATAATAAGAGATCTTATCCAGCAATAACATTTCTAATGTTGTTGGTTCCAATTTATTGTGTGACAAATACAAGAGCAAGCAGCAATAGCAATTCCACAAATCAAATTCATTGTGTGGTTGAACTGTCTATTAAATATAATCTTAGATAAATTGTGATATAATTGATATAAATTTGAATTAAAAGAAATAGTAAATATATGAGTGAAATAGCAGATGACAAAAGGGCTTGAATAAGCTAATGGAAGCTTATAATAAATGATTTGTTGGATCCAAGTTCCAAATTTATAAATTGGGCTAAATTTTATCCACCTATCGAACTTAGGACACACAATAGCATGTTTAAAAGAAATTGTTCTATTGGGCTGAACACTTTTGTACAAAACTACATCTATTTATCAGACACTCCTCAGATCACATTAACATTTTTTTGTGTATAATAAGAATTGAATAACAAAATTTAAAATCACTAACCTGATGCTTCACTTCCAGAATCAGGACAAACTTTTTCAAGATTCAACTTTAGCCAATGCAGCCTCTGTTCAGTCCTCGTAAGTCTTGGCCACCATCTTTTCTTTCCTAAAATCAAAAAGAAAATATTCTTTTAATTTGGGTCATCTCTTTACAGTTAGGCTAATGAATTAAAAAGAATGTGGCTGTACTTGTAGTTATAGCATAGTAAGTTTTTTCTGGGATTGTGGTTTAAATTTTGCCAATCCTCAAAGATTTTTCATTTATTTTAATAAATAGACAAAAGGCCACACTAAGTCACTTTACCTAACCAAAACAGCATACCAACAGTTATGCATTTTAATAGTTAGTTCTGAAATAGTAATCATACAAATTCATTTAGGGGCGTGCTAATTTCACGCAAGCCTACCTATGTTTAAAAAAGCTTTGAAATAAGTGTAAATCGTTAGTTCTGAGATAGTTCTATCAAAATGTTGATGGCACTGAATGGCTGTGGTGTCTATCATGTCCCTAGGAAGTGTTATTTAACGTTCCTGTCTGTGATATTCTGTGGCCCCAACGTCATGAGATTTGAGCTAATGTGGATTTTTTTTCATCTAAGCATTCTCAAATTTTGCGCCTACACTCACAATCCGCGTACTCTGGTGGATCTTAAAGGAAGCAGGGTTTGGCAGAAAAAATTGTAGATGAGCGTGACATGCTGGGACGTTTAATGGAAGAATATAAGAAAAATGATTCTCAAACCTGTATAAAAGTGGACTTCTGTATTTTTTTTAAGTAAAGGATATCAGACTTGTTTAGCCAAGAATGTTAGGTAAATAGTGTACTCTTAAATGGCAAGGGTTTACAAACATTTTAATGTACCTAATACAAGTTGTAATTGAAACAAAAACAAATGAGCAATGCTTATTTTAAGACAGGTTTTTCTCGGCCACCCTTTATATAAATATTTAAGATTTTTACCTTTTAGCATCTTCTCAAGTTTTATCTCTACGTAGAAAGCCTCTGCAGAATGTTCAGCTCGATCTCTATGATGAGCTCCAAACAGAGTCAAATCAACTTGATACATCACTCCGCTATACTTGGCACTGTAAAAAATAAACGTCATCAGCAATATTTTACATACGTTCTCCCTTTAGCTTCTCAACAACTGTTATCATGAACAAGCGGAGGGAGTAACTATGGTATTTTAAGGGTAAAATAACTAAAGTGGCAATAACTTTTGAACAGCAATTTAACAATATTGGGCTTGTGTAAATTACAAGGACCATAACATCCTTGAGAATCAGAGTTTTACATTATTTTTTTGATTTTTATGGTAAAATTACCTAAAAATATATAAATTTAATGTAACTTTTTAAGACTGTTGCACTTATGAGCATTATCTAATAAATATTTATTTTCTAACCATAATAAATTAGTTCAATACTGTAAATCTGTTACCAGAAAGAATATCTGCTACACTTGCCAAGCTATTGAGTGAAAAAAAGAGTATAAGACTGTAATTTACCAATTTATTCATAAATTTTGCTATTCAAGTAAAACAATACCACATATGGGTTGTGTATTGTTAAAATAAGAATGAAGAATCGTAAAAGAATTTTTAGTTATCTCAAGGAGTTTTGACTATAAAAAAATATTACCTGAAATTGACGTTGCCAATGTCAAAAGTGATATTGTAAGCTTCGAGGGCTGGTAGTTTTATTTGTATAAACACAAAGATATCATCCTGATACCATTCTACCATCGGGGTTCTGATTTCATCTGACTGTACAGCAACTTGTGAAAACGACAAGTCCTCATTGATGTGAGACTGATCAAGTGAGCTGTCTGATTCAGGTATACAACCGATCCATTGCAGTGTTCTTGGATCTTCATCTAGATCATCGTCTTGAAAAGCAGAGGGAATTTGTGAAAGCTCTTTCAAACGAGGACTGATGTTTTGAGCAAATGGAAGCAACGGTGAACCGCCGGACTGGCCTAGAATGTTGGAAGTCATTAGTTCCTTGACATTCCAGTTTTTCGCAGAAGTAGATAGGTGAGATTGTAAATGTCTATGAGTGAGAGGCGTTGATAAAGCCTCCGGTAGTTGTTCCACTTCAGACAAGGACAGAGATGAGATGGGAGGATTGATGGTGTTGCTGGGACATTCACTCAAGTCCTCACTATCAGCTGGAGGTAGAGCCCAGCAGGAGTTTGATCTTTCTGCGTCATCCTGTCAAACAAACAGCATCAATAGTCATTGGCTCAATAAATGAAATAGTAGCAAACTTCTACTTAATCAAAGTTTACAATGAAACAGTGTTCAGTTTGCTTTATTTGTGTATGATGCATCGCAATGGACATTTGTATATCGATTAATCCGTACTATTTTAACCAACAACTCGACACAAACTGTGAATAAGCAAGTTAACACGTTCGCGGCGGCACGTCAAATGGCGGGCGTATCCCAGGTCCGGCGCAGCCCTCAGCATCGAACAAACCCGATTGCCGCGTGTGATTGGCTTTCCAATTTCGGGCTGACAAATAGCAAATAACGTGCGAGGATGTCCTGCTTTACAACGAGAGTCGACGTAGTTCGCTAAACACCAACAGATAGCAGCACTGCTTGTAACGTAGCCGGTCCCATTGGAATTGTATTGCCAGACGGGGATTTACGGGAAGATTTACTACCAACCAACACCACAACAAAATACAGTATACTATTGAGCAGTGCTGTGCGAGGTTTCAAGTTTCTAGCTCTAATCCTGGCTTAAAAATAAATCATTTCGTACTGCATTGCAGCTTGGGAGCGATCGCACCCACCAGGATGGCATTAGGGTTCCGTATGGGAGCGATCGCTCCCATGCCGCCGCGAACGTGTTAAAAACAACCTATGACTATGAAATAGGTTCTACCTCAATCAGGTAGAAATGGGTCCGCGGAATTGGCTAACTCTGGAACTCGCTAACCCCATGTTAAGTGCCCTATCTTCAAATTTGGTCGATGAGAGGAACTCGCTAACTTGTTCGGTTTCGGAATTGGCTAACTCCGGAACCCGCTAACCCGCTCTAGAGCCGGGTTAGCGAATTCCGTCCTCGTACGGAAGTCGCTAACTCGGTCCCTCGGCGGAACTCGCTAACTCCCAATCAGAAGCCTCGCGGGCCGTCCAATGGGAGCCAAGCACGAATATATTTGGCCAGTGTTGCCGAAAGTGTAGTACCTATATCGTATCGGCACCATAATGTCGTATCCTACGATTAATTAGGAGTAAGAGCAACGCAGTCGATAAAATAAATATATTTAGAAGTATGTTTAACCAAAGAGAAGTTCTTATGATTATTAGGGTGGAAAATACATTATAGTTTTACCATAGACTAACCAACACAAGTAAACTTTACATCGCATTGTAAACTTTGAAGCTCGTTTTTCGTGTCTAGTTCATGTCCGGTGACACTGATCGCTAGTGTCGACAAAATTGTGTTTCTATTATTTTATAGTTAACTTCATGATTTGTTCCTTACTGTTTGGTTATATAACTAGGGGACGTGTTATTAGTTGTGATTAGAACATTTTATTTGGTTAAACGAGGTTTTAAATTACTGAAAACAAGAAACAATTGTAAACAAAACACGACCTCTAAAGACAGTGCACCGGACAGAACTAACAATACAACTGTCTTCAGATCATCCGTAAGGATGAGAAATGTACTAATATAAGGGAGTATGTTTTATATGTGGGTTTCTTACTTAAATAGTAGCTTATTGGTATGAAAAAGATACAATTCACATTTAATTTGGATCTATTACATGTTATGAAATATCTATTTTCGTAGTCCGCCATTTGTTTCTTTTATTCGAATAAATACCATTTTGTGAACTTCTGCAAATAAAATTATTGAGTTCGTATTTTATATATACTGGACTTGTAACCTTAAATCATAAATCATAATAAAATTTACACGTTAAACGTCATTACAGAATTACATTGTAGTGGTTATGTATTTTTAAATAGAGCTATTGAATTTAAATAAATATTTATCAATATATTATAAAGTGGTAGGCCTAATGTATTCATGGATTGCATTAAAAGTTAGTCTATGCATAAATACAACTTGTACATTTCTTTTATCGTAGGCTATTAGTGTAGAACCCGGGTCATCCTCTTAATTTTGTTGAATTAATATTAATTTTACGTCTTTTAGTAGGCTTACTTTTTAAAAGTCTGGAGTTTTTTTCCAGGCTGGTTCTATCTTATCCAAAAACAAAGCTATTGTCTATTGTGTAGCTCAGTACTGGGGAACGGTGAACCGAGCAATGGCTTGGTATAGTTTATATCGTTTGTGAAAGCAATATAAAGGAAACCCAACACTCAAATCAGGAAAATCCGTCAATCAGTTTATTAAAAATCATGAATTAAAATAACCCTGTCACGTTTTATTATATGAATATTATCTTCTCCTATTTTTTTACTAGTGGTGCTTAGGTGTACAATCTAAAAACTGTTTTAAAACATGTAACATTATTGCTAAAAAATTCAACACATTTTAGAATTAGGCAACTATTTACTAGTAGGCCTACAATGCTTTGGTTCAAACTATTAGGCCTAGATAAAAACTTAGTCTATGTCATCATATTTGTACACGTAAGTTGGACGGCTCAACGACGAACATTTAATTTAAAATCTATGAATTAATTATGAAAGTTACGATGGTTGATGACTGTATTAATTAATGGTTTTGGTTTATTACGACATTACAATTAAATCTGTTTCCGTGTTCAAGAACTTGCGTGTATTTTAGCTTAATTTCGTAGAGATTTAATTATTTATTACCAATTAAACTAAATTTTGAATATTTTTCATATTCTATTATTTTCTTTTATACTGATGGCATTTATATTTAAGATCGAAATCATAAACATTTAACTGGCCATTGTACAGTTTAATAAAAAACACTTTTTCATGATTTTTTAATTGTCTTTTAATTACTTTGGGCTAGTTATCTGTTAAAAGTGGAATTGATAACAAAAAACAATAACATTTACTGTATGTTGTATAGACACTGATATTTTGAAATACGGCAGTGTACGATTATTTTGTCGTACAAGGTTGGCAACGCTCCGAGCAGTGGGCGCGGCCGGGTTAGCGACTTCCAGAGTTAGCGAATTCCGCCGCGAGACAAAATCGAGTTAGCGGGTTCCGGAGTTAGCCAATTCCTGACTGAGACGGTTAGCCAGTTCCAGAGTTAGCCAGTTCCGCCACACGACCGAGTTAGCGAGTTCCTGAGTTAGCCAATTCCTACGTCTCGTAGAAATTAGTTTTAAAAAGAGACAAAAAACTAAAACAAAATAAGGGTATTCCTATAGGTACATTAAGTTTCAATATACTAAACTTCGTTGGGGGACAGTTTTCCTAAATTATTGTTTTATAATTAGGCTTTATATATTGCAAACTGAAACAAAATGGTAAACTGTCTTGTGTCCATTTAAATTACACATGGAATAATTATAATTTTTGTCAAACCAAGGTTCCAATTGAAGGAGAGCCAATTTATGTTGAAACAAACCCTCAGATAAAAAGGGATGGTAGAAATCAGTATATAATCTACATTAACCTCAGTTCAAGGTAACCATTCAATTCCAACCTCCTCTTCCGTTAGATTATAACCCGTTAGCCTAGGTGGGTTAGTATCGTAAAATGAAAATTTTTTTATAATTGTGCTTATGATACAAAAACATCTCTATGGCTCACAGAGTTGGCGAAACTGAAGATATCAACCATATAAAAAGCTATATTTAACGAGAACTTTCATTATTGTTCCCACTTACAATAGGTACATAACAGTTCAGTTAAGGTATTAAGGTTTTGCATTAAGAGTCTTTGGAGTCTAGCAGCTATTTTGGATAATTTCAAACAACTGCTGAAGTGTTATAGTCCGTCCGTTTGACTATGATACCCAGCGGATTATGGACCTTCTCGGAACTCAACTCACCCTCTCGCCCCGTTCGTCGGGCTGGCCGGAGACAAACAGTGACTCACCCACTGTCACAGTCCCACAGATCTGTAACTTTTGTTTTAAGTTAAAATAAATTTTTCTTTATAAATTTGAGTTCTTCATGCAACTAAAAAAAATAATGAGTCCAAACACGATGTGAATACTTAATATCTATGATCTGAAAGCAGTACAATTACTCTGTATCATCACCAGCTTTGTCCGACTTTCAGATCCGTATCCACATCGTGTTTGGACTCATTATTTTTGGAATTTCATGTAGAACTCAAATACCTATGGGCCTACATTGAAAAATTTATTTTAACTTAAAAATAAAAAAAGTTACTGATCTGTGGGATAGGGCAGATTTTTTACCTACCTGACAGTAGGTAGGTAAACTTTTTATCAGTTTCACAAGTACAACAAGTTCAAACATAAATGAAGTTGTCTCACAAACACACAACAGATTTATACTCACCTTCACTGTGTTCATTATTTGCAAACATTTTACTTATAAATAATTAGTCTTTCAAACATTAAACAACACATTTTACGTTAGGTTAGATACAAGCCTTGAATGACAATTGTTAACACGCAGGCTTAATGCTTATAGGTTACACTAAGTCGTATCAATGATAAAATCAAATTACGAATAAACTGACGTATATACAGCTGATTAAAGTCGTAGTTTCTTTAAGCGTTGGCAACTTGTTTTTAAGCATTCTCGTATTACCTGCCAAATACAATCACACTTTTTTGTGTTGTTTGGTTGAAATACTGGGGTGCGACGAAGTAAAATGACGGTGGCAAAGTAAATGCAAGAATTAGCTACTTTGTGTCCTGTAACCAGTACAAGAAAGTTTGATTTGTCAGGTAAACAATAGGAATATGTTATTTAAATATGGAATGGATCTGACCATTTTAATGAAACGTTTTATTGAGCATCCAATAATATATAAAGCAATCCAAATGGGAATTTGCTTAGTCTGCAGATTCACTTCAGCTAAGGTATTTGTGGGAATTATTTGAATGAGAACTTAATTTTTGAGTTTTCAAAGCTGAAAATATTTTAGTTTAAATTTTATTTCAAGGGCTTGAGAATAAGAAAACATAAGATTTCTAGGGTGTCTACCAGTTGATTAAACTAAATTTCAGGGACTTTTTTTAGAGGGGTACAACAACTTTAAGGGTGAATATGCAGGACCCTTGGTACCTTTATGAAAATAATACATTTTCAGTGACCTATACATGAGATAGTCGGGCATAGAATATTTTATGCCATAACAATTTGAGCTGGTTGCCCGCTCCCAAAATCTATTCGCTCTCACTGATTCAGCATTAGGCCTCTTTTAAGAGGCGTGTTTTCCGTGGGGCGGAATCTATCAGAATCTATCGGGCTTTCCGTCGGTGAGTGTTTTAACATGGGACCCTTTCATGACGGAATCTCCGCCACGTTTCAGCGTTCCGTCGAGGGCCGACGGAGGACTTATTAAGGGAATTCAGGGTGTCCACCAGGCCAACCAGGAAAAATTCATGAGTAATTCATGAGTAAACAAATCCAAGTAGGCCTAGTTCATTTTGTACTTTTCATACTAAAATTTCCAACGTGTTTTGCACCAACTCTCACAATGCTGTTTTATCGCTAACACAGCTCGCTATTTTAGTGTAGTTATTGGAAAGAGTATTCTCAGTTAAAGAAATTATGAAGAATTTATGATTACTGTAATATTGCCTGACACAAGTATTCAATTTTGATATATTGACTGATCAAATACTTGTCATAAAACTTGCTTAGTCGTAAGAAGATTGCTTCAGGACCTTCCACTACAATGACGTGAACGTCCTCCACCTCATCCATTGGCAGCCAGGCCCACTGTGGAGAAGGCTGTTCAACTCTCTTCAGCACCATCTGTTCTTCTTGAGCTGCAACAAGTGTCATGACTTTCACAAAAATCTTGGATACAACAAAATCTTAGCTATATAACACAACGTTCTACAGTACCTATATTTCTATTATCATCAGATCAAAACTGATAAAACTATCGATAGTCAAAGAAAAAACAAATGGATTAAATTATAAGAATTGATTTAAATGTGCTACGGATAAAGTTTAACCTCATGTTTTATCAGATTATATTTAGGCCTAGGCCTACATCAAATTATTTCCTAATTTGTCTGGTAAACTACCAGTAAATCACTTTTCGTCTGCTAATTGCTTCTGATTTTGGCGAAAAAAAATTAATCGACTGATCTTAGTGGGCTATTTTTGTGTGGCCTAAATAGAAATCTGTTTGACTGTACGGTACATATTTGTCTACTAATGCCTTCTTAAGTGTAGAATGAATGGAATGATAGCTTCATTATCAACTAATATAAGAAGTTTTTCTGGTCAGGATCGTTTAATATAAAAGCCCAATCTGCCAAATGATCAAAGACAGATGGGCCAAGTAGCCTATCATATCAACAAAAACTAGTGACTTTTCTCCAGATCAAACCAGCAGCATTCAGATTACGAGGCAACTATTTCCACTCACCTAACTTACTCAGGTAAAAAATACACCTTACAGATCAGCACTAAAAAAACAAACCATTCCAAGGTCCTCCAGTGATGGACAAGTCTAATCAGAGATGTGGACAAGGCTAAGTTAATTTGCGATGGATTGATAGCCTAAGTCAATGCCAAACCAAGGGCGGTCCCAGGGGGGGGCCGTGAAACCCCCCCCCCCCAAAATATTGTTTATATATAGATTAACTATTATACTAGGGGAACCTTACCAGTAATAATTTTTATTGCAAATTGTTCTACCAAATTCATTGTAGTCTTTACAATTGCGGCAAACGAAAGGAATAATTACAAACTCTGACCTAAAAGTCCAAATATTTTTTGAACGTTATGAAAAGTAGGGGAGATCGGCAGACAGATGCTTTCAGCCACACACGGCAACGACAGTGTGCGATGCTGGCGTTCAACGTTCCGCCGCATTCTTCTTCTTCATTTAATTTTTTGGCATTTTATAAATTATCATTCATTTTTGGAAAACTTGAATTGGGTATTGGACAAAGAAAAGAAGTTGTATCAATAATCAACGCTTGAAAGGTAGGCCTACAGTAGACTCCCTTTTGTCCGGACAAATTTTAACCGGACATCGGTTTCACCAGATTAAACTCAGGGGAAATGACATCTCTTTAGCACGAGAATTAATGCAACGAGATAAAAGTACGAGAATTAACATGAGTTTTAAATATTGTTATATGTGTAACAAAACGGCACGGAGGCAGCTGGACACTACTAAATCAGGAAAATAGGGGGGCCCAGGATAGCTCAGCCCAGGGGTTCGTGACGGCTCTCGCTGGCCCTCATCAAATAATATTCATATTTAGAGCACCTGATATCACTAAAAAATATCACAACCCAATTGGTACCGTATGTTGCTAGCCACGAAACAAAAGCAAAATAAAAGGGTAGGCTAGTGTCTCAGACTTAGATGCGGACTTAGAGTGACAGATTTTATTCCCGGTATAACCACAAAAACATTTCACAAAAACTTTATACTTACAAAACTTTAGTAGCGCGAGCGTTGTCCCCTTGTAAAATGCCACTGGCGTGGAAAAAATTGAGAACACTGAGAACCAATTCTTCAGGCGGTAGTAGTGACGGCAACGGTCAACTTTAGTTGGGTAGTGTAGATTAACTGTTGCTTACTGTGCAGGTATAATGCAGTCCCATTGGGTACAAGTTCTTAAACATTTCTTGGATAAAATAAGTTCTCTGGTTCGAATTCTTGGTCTGATTTTGGACATTTTCTGTTTAGCATGCCCATTGGCACCAGTTGAAAGGGTATTTTCGTAAATCAATAAGAGTGTCTTGTAATGTTGTGTTAGGGCTAACAAATAAGCACAAAACACACAAATGAAATGTTACCCTTAACCCTCCAAGTGTCCATAATAATGGTATTAATGTCCGCCCATTTATTGCGCAATTGCAGGGTTTTATTAAAATGTATGTATTAGAAACTTAAAAACAATGTCAAGTATAGGCCTACTGTTTTATATATCATTTTGTTTGGGAAATTATGGGCTTCAATGTAATATATAAAAAACATTACCGTACAAAAAAAAATTTAAAAAATTTTTCTGGGGTAAAATTTTTCAAAAATTATAAAATAAATGAAAAAAATTTATGTTTTGCGCTCAATAAATTTTTATAATTTATAAGTCTAGACAAATATTTTAAAATAGCCACTTTGTTCTAAATTTTATAAGGTTACAAAAATATAATAATATAGGCCTAAAGGAAGTAAATTTGCAAATAAATAATGGGTGAAAAACAGATTTCGTACATTTGGCATTAGCGAAGAATGCATAGCCAAACCACAGCTAGGAATCTGGCTGATAATTTACATCAATATCACTATCTACTTCTTCAGGATCATCAACCAGCCCTTCAAAATCACTTAAATCTTCTTATAATGCACCACGTATAAGTTTATCACTACTTTTTATTTTTAACACTAAAACAATGATAATCGTAATAAAACACATCAGTGATCGGTGCGAGGTTAACCAAGTTGTTTACACACGTCAGCTGTCTGCTACAATATTTTCGGAACTAAAATGAAAAGCGTCTAGAAACAGACATCAGGAGAAAGCTTAGAATCTGCTGAAAACAACGATACCAATCTCGATCAAGTTCAATCTGATTCAGTCAGTCCCAGAGCCTTCCCCGTAAATGATGTTTGTGTGTCGCAAAAGCGACGCATAACACCACGGCGGGTGTGTTGTGCGCCGATTATGCGACGCTTAACACTCGGAGGGTTAACAATTGAAGAGGCTAACCTCAAGTTACCTAGGGCAAATACTTGAAGTTAGGGTAACTTACTTAGTCTTCCGTATCTGTTGGCACAAACACCTGAATGGAAATATCGATTAGGCTATTCGATTGGTTCATTCAATATAAGTTAGATCGCTATTTTAATTCGGTTGTTTGTGTCAACAGATACGGAAATCTACCCTCAAGTTACTTAATGATTAATAAAACTTACCGTACTGTAATGAATAACTTAGGCCTAGGCTAATATAAAAATTGAAATTTCTTGTAGCCTAAATAATAGTGCTTTTAAATATTGACTTTTGTGATTATTAATGTGGATAAAGGAGAATTTCCAAGCTTATGAATGACAAAAAGTACAAAAACAAAACAAAGTAGCCTTTTAAACTATGTTAGCCTCTTAAATTGGTGTGTAGGCTTAAGTTGCTCAAATACGGTACCTAAACAAATTTTTTAAGTTACTTTTTGTATCAAGGTAGGCTAATTTATAGACTAACTTAATCCTTTAACTTTATTAGATGATAACAAAGTTGTGCAAGGCCTACTGCCTAGTACTTGAGTGCGAGGAAAATTTGCATAGGCTAGGCTTGGCTATTATTATAAAAGACAGGACATGACATAACCTACAAAAGATGTTTTAAGCTCATGCGTTGAAGATTAGACGCAGCATCACGATGTAGTTTTAAACATTAAATGAAAACATGAACCGTCCAATAAAATAAGTAAGAAGTATAACATAACAACCACACAAAATAATTGCAACTAGCTTAACTTAGAAACTTACAGGTCATTCTTGCGCTTTAAGGCCTAATTTCTTCCAAAATGAAAATACCGGCAATGGATCAATGGATTGCGGAAATCGGAATCCGGCAATTCAAAATCCAACCAACTCAACTCAACTCGACTGCAACTCCACTCCCACTCCATCACTCCAACTCCATCCTGTCTCTAGTCTAGTCCCTACCCCACTCTCAACTCCACTCCACCAGTCGGCTCGGCACCGAGGACTGGACTGAACGACTGACGGACTGAACCTTTGCATTGCATTGAACCAAAACGATTAAGAATTAATTAGAAATTAGAATATTAGATTGCCGAATGAGAATGACTAATGACCAAGACCAATCGAATCGACCAATCCAATCCTAACCGAATCGACTTCGACTATTCGTCACCATCGTCCAACTGTCGGTTGTCGAGTCGACTCAATAGTCAATACACCAGACACCACCATAAAGAAAACACTCAACACTCACCACTCACCGTGTCTCACCACCATAAAGAAAGACACCCCGGTGTTTATGTGAGATATAAACCACGATAGTTCAATTCTAACAGTTCAATTTTAAATTCACATGAACCTGATAAAATGAAAATAGCAACAATATACCCAAAGCATAAAAAAGGAGAAAAAACTTAAAAAAAACAAACTACAGGCCAATCTCAATACTACCCACCCTCTCAAAATATATAGAGATTTAATTTTTAACCAGATAATGGACCATCTAAATTAAAACAACCTCCTAACTGAAAAACAACATGGTTTTAGACCCCAAAAATCCATAACTACAGCAGTTTTTCAATTCTGTGACTTTATAACAAAAAACTGGGAAGAAAATAACAATGTCAGGAATATACCTGGACATAGACAAAGCATTTGACAGTCTAAACTGGAAAACCCTTTTAAGTAGGCCTAAATTAAATACACTTAACATAAAACAGGATGCACAAAAATGGATCAAAAGTTATCTCACAAATAGAAAACAACAAGTAGAAATAGGCTACATAAAAAAAACATTGAACTAAAAACCAAATCTAAACTTCAACATATGACCCAAGGAATTCCACAAGGAAGCATCCTCGGCCCCCTCCTATTCATCATATATATGAACAATTTTCCAGAAAACCTTCCAACAGGAATAGACTGTATTATTTTTGCCGATGACACTACAGTACTAATCCCTCGAGATCATCACCTTATACGGAGGAATAGAAAATAGTTTAAAACATATCGAACAATTCTGCAAAAATAGACCTTAGAATCAATAACGCCAAAACTGTTACAATAGAATTTTCTGCAAATCAAACCCAAACAAAGCCCCTTTAGGTAAATAAGTTTATAATGGCTACGTTTCCAATTCTCAATCAGCAGATTAGGTAAACTGATTTATTTGGTAATGAAATTAAAGGGATACAGTTATTTGTTGAGTATTTTAGCATTAACGCCATGAATCCAAACGCTGTGCCTTCCTCGCGTTTTTAACGAATAGCTGCATTTCCCCCTACATAACCCCCTAATGTTAATACACAATTTTAAAGATAGATAAATAAGGAAGTTTTTTAGTTAGTTGAATATTCGAATATCAACATTTTACTGACTTTCTTTAGCTATAAAATTTAAACGGAATTTTTAATAAAAATCAATTTTACATTTGAAGCTATTTGCAAATCATTGTATAAAGAGTTGTTACTTTGGTATTGTGTTTAATTTGCAGTAAATTTAACCCTTTTTCAAATGATACAAGTTTTAATATATTTCAAACGTGGGTTTGGCTTATAACGTTAAATTAACAGTGAAAAGTCCTGTTATTTGAAAAAATCACAAATGACGCCATAACAGCTAAACGGTAAAGGTCAGACCAGGGTTTATATACATTTTCTGGTTTCGTTTGATGATTAGAATAAGCTGTTAAAATTAATGCATTCAGTAGTGACTCACCCTGTATAAGATTCAAATATATGGAAATTTGCTTAGTCGGCAGGTTTGCTGCGGCGGGGGTATTTCTCATAAAATGTCCGTTGTATTGACTTTATTATGTTTTTTTTTTTCAATTCTACATCCTAAGAAGCATAGAAAATAACACCCTATTGTTTGGATCCCATATTATGATAAATAAAAATGTTCCCAAAAATCACTATCCCCAATTTTTAACCTCCCTAAAATTGTACCCACCCCCCAATCACTAGGGACTCATCAGATTGAAAAAACTAATGGTATTCACTATGTTTCCAGCAAGTTTCATGAACAGACTAATTTTTATGTTTTCTACTAGGCTTTTGGTAGAATTTTACCTATACTACTTTCCTATTACGAATGTGTAAACTGTAAACTTATCACTCAGTGAAGAAAAAATGAAAATAATTAACTCACATACAACAGGTTTTAACTTGTTTATTATAAAACTCTCAATTCCTTAACCTTTCTATTGGTTTATATTAAATTAGGAAATACCAATACAATGGTTGAAAGAATTCTAAGACTAGTACTTACAAAACAGGAATAAAAAATAAAGACAAACGTATAAAGAATTTCCTTAAACATAAAAAACAAAAACATAATAATTAAATCACAGTTATAAGCATTAAAATAAGAACAATATTAACCTATGGGATAACTGCAAGTTCACAAAACCCTTTATGCAAACATATGTAGTTTAATTAAATATCAAATTACAAAATTGTTTAAAGGCTGGAAATACATATTTGAAAATATAAGTTATTTCAAGGAATCAATATAAAACTATCATTCCCTCGCTCATGAAAAGAGAATGAACATAGTAAGATCAATGAAGTTTAAATACCAATTAACTAAACATATCTTCAAATCCAGGTTGCCTAAAAATGACAATTGGTAGGCAAAGGCCCACAATTCCAAGGCATCAAATACTCTAGTATTTTACAAGATAAATGGAGATGTGAGGTTGCATTTAAATAAAATTATTTGTGGAAATTAAATTAGGTCAACAACACTAAAAGTAGAATATTCAACACATCTCAACCTGAAATCATGTTTATATAACACTTTTATGTTAAAGTAATAAAAGTACTGCACATTTGTGCCATTTTACTTTTATCCATCATATTGATAAAACATATTGGAACATATGGAATCTTCAACATTACAAGACACGATTGTGATACAAAACACACAAGCTCAGTCTGTCAGTCCTATTCTCAGTCAAGTTAAATAACAGTAGTTAGAAAACTAGTTAACTACATAAAAATAGCATCACAAGCTAGA